GGTTAGTTTTACCTAGCAGGAAAGTCCAATGCGAACAGCGCGAGTCGGGTAAACTTCCCAAGTCATCACAGTGAATGACCTTCCTCAGGCTGTCAGGCAATTACGCATGAGCTGTGACCTGGAAAAAAACGTCACACACAAACATATTGATTAATTTCGCGCGTGTTTGCTAGTGTCTTGATTTTGAGTAATTTTGTCATTTTTTTCACTTGTTTGCTCGGTTTGTTTCAATGGCCGATTTATATGGAGCATTAATAAATGTGCTAGGTCTTGGTGAGACAATCCATCGCGATTATCAACGAGTACAACATGATGTGGGCCTAGGCCTAGTCCAAAGAAACACTGTCACAACAAGGAGAACCCGGCGGTTTAGCTTGTTACGATCTGTCGTACGTGAGCGTCAACGTAGGCAATCTGAGGCAATCTTGAATATAGCAGTTCTAATTACTGGGCTTCGTGAGTTTTTTTTAAATATTGTTTACTAATTTAACGTATAGTATTACCGATTACCGATCCTAGGGCTAGGGCCTATAGTTATAGCTTCTGTCGACCCACATATCACTAAAATTAAAAATATAATTGGGCCCAGCGACGACCGACGCCAAGTCGATCGGGCCCAATAAACTGGGCCCAGTCGTCCGTGGGCCCGATCGTATTTTTAACTACAAAAACAATTTACAAATTAAAATAAAAAACACATTACAGTAAATGGCCCCACGGGTGTGTTAAGGGATCAATTTTTGTCTTATAATTGTTGAATATTTTTCATTCTCTATAGACAATTTTAATAATATATACTTTACTTTCCAAGGGGTGGGGGGGTGGTGGAGAGCCAGTCTGCCCCCCCCCCCTAAAATCCGCCATATTTGCTGCAAAGAGATGTGCATCCCTGTATGGATATTATATAACATTTGTTTACATTTACATAATTGCATGGATGGCAAACATTATTTTATATATGCATAAAAGTCAAAGTTGTTTTTATTTTTCTTTGATTTGTAGTGAATGCTATGTATGCACCTACAGTGACTGTGTGGACAAGGAATCGCAGCCATCAGTGGTGGACCATTGATTGCCTTATGCAATACGATGATGTGCAATGGTACGAAAATTTCAGGATGACCAGGAGACCGTTCCAGTTACTCTGTAATCAGCTGAATCCATACATCGAAAGAATGAACACACAGATGAGACGGCCAGTTAGTGTGGTTAAGTTAGTCGCCATTACTGTTTATCGCCTTGCCACTGGTGAGTGTTTTCGGACTATAGGAAATCTTTTCGGTGTTGGCCGTACCACTGCTTACGATGCATTTTGGGATGTGTGTAGAGCGATATGTACCTACTTAAAACCCCTCTATGTCAAGCGGCCCAAGGGTGATGATGTTAAACGTATGCTACAAATATTTGAACTTAAGTATGGCTTTCCCATGTGCGGTGGAGCAATCGACGGATGTCATATCCCTATCATAGCGCCCAGACTGTACCACACTGACTACTACAATAGAAAAGGTTGGTACAGTATCCTTCTACAAGGTCTTGTTGACCACAATTACAAATTCATTGATTTTGACGTAGGGCAGCCAGGAAAGTGCCACGATGCCTATGTGTTTGAAATGTCAAAACTGTATAGGAAATTATCATCTGGCACATTCTATCCTCCATTTACTAAAACAATTGAAGGAAAAGAAGTACCAATTGTTATCCTAGGGGATTCAGCCTATGCGCTGTCTACGTTCCTTATGAAACCCTATGCAGAAGGACTGGCAACTGCAGCGCAAAAACGTTTCAATGAAAGGCTCAGTCGCACACGAATTTTGGTGGAGCATTCCTTTGGCAGACTAAAAGGACGTTGGCGATCAATAATGAAACGAAATGACTCGCAAGCAGATAAAATACATATAGTCGTTGCGTCATGTATTGTCTTGCATAACTTCTGCGAGGTCTGGAACATGGACTATGAGGAATATAACAATTTTGATGTCGAACAGCCAGGTAATGAATATCATCCAGATGAGGAAATCGGAAATGAAAATGAAATTCGCACTACTCTCGTGCAGTACTTCACCAACAACCCATACTGAAATTATATATGGATATAGTTAGAAAAATCTAAGGGTTGCGTGAAACATTTTTAGGGTGGGTGAAAAATGATCAGGAACAGAAATTTCTACATTTTTCATAAATTAAGGTTGGCCAGATGCTGAATTTAGGCTGGGTGAAAGGCGTTTAAAAATAGCTTAAAATTTTTTGTCATACAGATTATTTACGTGTATTAAATATATTTTGTTTTTGTCAATGTTTTTTACATTTTTTAATTAAATTTAATTCTGTTGATAAGTCTGAAACTGTTATGAAAGATTGGGGGCGCAATCTCATCGTAGTAACATTGATAAAACGTAACACAAGTTGATTCCGGACATATCAATCAATAGTAGGCGCTTCCATGGAAGTTCACTATCTAGCCTTTAAAATATATTAAATTTGTATCAATTAATTTTAACACATTTTAAATCATGTCATATTACTTTAGCATTTTCAGCTGATTTTAGGGGTATATAAAATCTAGGTTCCACTGTACATGTCTGAATGTAAATATTGTATTTGAGTAGAAATAAAAATTTTGAAATGACATGATTGTTTTGATTTTGAATGTGCACTTCAATATGGAATAGCGGTAGCAATACAGTACTTTTATTGACAAGCATTGCATAAAATATGCGAACAAGAATGTAAACCAAAATGTTGATGTCGGACGGACAGCAAACTAGGATGCATGAATTGATTCAGTGATCTTGCATCTATCCTAAATCCGCCCCTAGGGCGTCTCCAACATTGTTTGCTGGGGCAGGTGGAGCCTACACTGTGAACCAAGCAAAACAATCCTCATTTGCACCAATGCATCTCCCAGATTAGGCTACTACAACTGTATTCACCAGTCAATAGTCACTGCAGCCTGGAAAATATTTTCAGATCAATTTTTTTTTGGGGGGGGGGGCTGTTAACCACCCCTAAACCTATAATTTACAGATTTAGTGGGCAGTGGCAGCGCCAGGAATCTGTATACTGTATCTGTATACTGTATTAACTAAAGTTCGTTAGACAATCTGTTGACAGTGACAACAATGTTATAAAAAATACAATTACTGAATCAAAATTATTTTAATTTACATAATACTGTACTACATAACACTGAAAGACATGCATATTTAAAAAAAAAATTGCAGTAAGAAGCACCTGGTTTTTTGTAGTTGTCCACATGAATGACAAGAGATGAAATTATTGCATTAATATGTCTGAATATAAAACTTTGATATCTTTCAAAATATATTAATTATATATAAGTATATTTGTACAGTATGTACACACTGAATAAGAAAACTTGCAAAGTTAGGTTTGTACTGTATAAAATAAAATCCATGAGTAATATATATTGATTAAAATATTGAATACATTAAATTAGCACCATTACAAAAACACCAACACATACACAATTCTAAATTATTGCATTATATTTGGGGGCATTCAACAATTACCTGGTTTGTTTTTTTTAAACTAAATTTGACCATCCCCACCCTTGTTGTTTGTACTTTCAGCTTGACAACCACCTAACCCACCCCTGTACATACTCAATGTTATGAAACCTCACATGTTCTCTTTATATTATTAAATTAACTTGCGTTCATCCTTTAGTTTACGAGGACAATTTAAACATCCAGATTTTTGATAGGGCGTCGCATGCGCCATTAATCTAGACGCGCACCCGTTTAATTTTAGGCCTGCCCGCGATTATCACGTGTACAGATGGGACTACTGCCACTTTAAAGGAAACTGAAGTAAATCGTTCGTTTACCTCTGTGTGGGTGCTGTCTCTTATACACATCTAGATGTGTATAAGAGACAGATATAAAATCTAGGTTCCACTGTACATGTCTGAATGTAAATACTGTATTTGAGTAAAAATAAAAAATTTGAAATGACATGATTGTTTTGATTTTGAATGTGCACTTCAATATGGAATAGCGGTAGCAATACAGTACTTTTATTGACAAGCATTGCATAAAATATGCGAACAAGAATGTAAACCAAAATGTTGATGTCGGACGGACAGCAAACTAGGATGCATGAATTGATTCAGTGATCTTGCATCTATCCTAAATCCGCCCCTAGGGCGTCTCCAACATTGTTTGCTGGGGCAGGTGGAGCCTACACTGTGAACCGGCTGATCAGATTTTTGGCAAGCAAAACAATCCTCATGTGCACCAATGCATCTCGCAGATTAGGCTACTACAACTGTATTCACCAGTCAATAGTCACTGCAGCCTGGAAAATATTTTCAGATCAATTTTTTTTTTGGGGGGGGGGGCTGTTAACCAAACCCCCCTAAACCTATAATTTACAGATTTAGTTGGCAGTGGCAGCGCCAGGAATCTGTATACTGTATCTGTAACTGTATACTGTATTAACTAAAGTTCGTTAGACAATCTGTTGACAGTGACAACAATGTTATAAAAAATACAATTACTGAATCAAAATTATTTTAATTTACATAATACTGTACTACATAACACTGAAAGACATGCATATTTAAAAAAAAATTGCAGTAAGAAGCACCTGGTTTTTTATAGTTGTCCACATGAATGACAAGAGATGAAATTATTGCATTAATATGTCTGAATATAAAACTTTGATATCTTTCAAAATATATTAATTATATATAAGTATATTTGTACAGTTTGTACACACTGAATAAGAAAACTTGCAAAGTTAGGTTTGTACTGTATAAAATGAAATCCATGAGTAATGTATATTGATTAAAATATCGAATACATTAAATTAGCACCATTACAAAAACACCAACACATACACAATTCTAAATTATTGCATCATATTTGGGGGCATTCAACAATTACCTGTTTTTTTTTTAAAACTAAAATTGACCATCCCCACCCTTTTTGTTTGTACTTTCAGCTTGACAACCACCTAACCCACCCCTGTACATACTCAATGTTATTGTTGTTCTCAATCATTAAGACATTTTTTAGATAACCTACATACAATATGCATACATAAAACCTGGCCCACACTCAACCATGTACGCATGTGTATGCATTTTAACACACCACCACTCTGTGCATATGTACAGTAATTGTTGAATGCCCTTTTGCAAGGAAAAACTGTTTTTGTTTACACAAAGAATATTGTTCAAGGTAACTGCATTTGGTTATCTAGTTGGACATTAGTTTATTACAGATCATGCCAATATGTTGACCCATTGTTATTACTTGGCCCACCATGCCCATAGTTGCTGTTTTGTCTACCCCCTTGCATTGCATTCCCAAATATGTGTGCAAATTGCAACAACAGTTGGTTGTTCTCATTTCTTCTTCTCTCATCAGCAGCTAACTGTTGCATTCTGTATTCATGTTCTCGTGCCTCTTGCTCTGCGATTCTGCGTTCCCTCTCTCTTTCCATTGACTGCTCCCATTGAAGCCTTTCCTGTTCTAATTTTACTAGTTCATCTGTTGATTCATCCCGCTGCTGCTGTTGTGCCTCAATTAGTTTAGAAATAGACTTATCAATGGCATCTTCAACCTGCGATTTCCTTCCGCGTCTTTTTCTAAAACTTGATCCTGGTAAATGTAAAAAATGCACTTTAAATGATAATATTTTCTTTTTAATTAAAAACAGGTTATATTCGCAGTACAGACAACATGTTTTTACCACTTCTTGGATTTTTTTAAAGTAATAAATTACGGTACCAGTGTACAAATAGAAGAAACAAATTGAAATTGTTTTGTATATAAACTGGCATGTGCTTCATTATTTTTTTAGCTTAGTCGACAGAACTTGTGGTAGCTACTGCATGTGCACTAAACCATAGCAATCCTCAGGTTGTACGTCCGCAGTTCAAGTACAAGTTAAATAGCGCACCATCTTTTGGATGAGACATAAAGCCTTTGTCCCTGTTACAGCATGACACAGGTGAATGATAAAGATTGCAGTGCACTAGTCAGAAAACAGTAGGTGATTGTCTCTCGATGTACTCACTGGCCACCAGAAGGACCCAATTGGATAATAAGCTTACTTAGAACAAACACCAAATTAAGTAACTTCAAACAAACCAAATGAGTACACTGTATGCAACCGAAACAGCATAAAAACCATCTAAGCAGGGGCGGATTTAAATTCCGGAGGGGGGGGGGTCCCCACAATCAGACAAAATGCAGACTACTTACAACATAAACTTTTGAAAACACCCAAAACCTTTTTGTTTAGCTTGTTAAATTTGAAACCCTGAAAACGCCCTTCTCCATCTGGCTGGGAATTTTGCGACCCCTCTTTCATACAATCCTGGATCCACCCTGCTAAATACGATGAATGTTTGAAGTCCAAAGCTCTAGATACCAATGAAATAAAAAGTATTTACCATCATGTTTTGGTGCCTTTTTCTTGTCTTTTGTTACTACAGCTGGTGTTTGAGGATCATTCAATGGTGGTGTTGGAGGATCATTCAATGGAGGTGTTGGAGGATCATCTGATGAGGGTTCTATGTCCCGATCTGAGTCTGAAAATATTTAGAATATTTGAAAATGAGCAATTAAATTTAAACATGCTTGTAAATTTCCAATCAGTTAATGAAATAAGCAATTAGATGTTGCAATGAAGTTTTAAACAAACTAGGAAAAACAATACATTATAAGCAATTGGAAGAACATTGGACAACTGTAGTTCTTTAAAACTTTTTTTAGACTGCAGTTCAATAAGATGAAACTATTTTTGTGTCTTGTTTCACAAATTGGGAAAATGTGCTAAAAGGAAGTCCGAATAAAAATTAAAAATGTTAGTTTTTCAATTAGCAAGTTGTGTCTACAAAGCAGAGAATAAAGTAAAAATAAAGATTTATTATTACTTGAAAGAGGTATTATAATTGATGTTTATTAACACAATACAATATTTTTTCAAAGAAATACTGTATTCATAAATTGGAGGTTGGAATAAAATAGTTTTTAAATTTTTATTCAAAATGTTGAATTTTGTCTGAAGGTTCACAAATAACCTAAAAATGAATTTTATATTTATTTCAACTCTCAACTTTTAAGCGTCAGCTGGTTCTCGAAAAAAGGTACAGTAGTATAAAAGAAAGTCTAGCCTAATGGATGAAGATGCTGCATAGCTTCAAGTAACAAATGAGAAGAGTAACATTCTTCAGTTAAGCGATATTGATGCTTTATTAGTAATTGATTACAGTATTATAATTACTACTGTAATAAATAATCATACATTAATTGAAGGATGACAAAGGCTATTTTACAAGTACACAAGTAAAAATTGAATTGGATTAGCAATAGTTACCTTGGTTTAGTGGTTCCTGTCCTGGTTCACCTGCTGGTGGTTCGGCAACCACACCAACATGTGTTATAACCTCATCATCTGAAGCACTCAGATCTGCATCGATATGGTGAAATTGTTGTACATTATTCATTGGCCTTCTACCTGTAAATTTGGAAATGACAGAACTAAAAATAGGGATCATGATAGAAATAAAAATATTGACTAAACACTAGGCCTTACTTAGCCTAGGCTTAGATAGATAGTAGTAAATAAATTTAAATGTTTCTGGAACATAATTAACAGAATACTACTGTATCTAGACAAAAAATTATTTGTCTTTTCCATCCCCTACTAGGCGAACCATCTACTACTAGGCTAGCCTAGGTTGTGCAGTGAAAACTAGGAATGGCTAGGTAAGCTGGACGGGGGCGCTTCGGGAGAGGGGTTGAGGCGAATTCACCGCAATTAGCGGATGGGCCAAATAGGCCAGCAGTAGAGGTGGGTGACAGAAGGGTACAGACAATCAGGCCCACAGACGATCGGGCCCAAAACTAAATCATCTCATTCCAAACATTTTTTATATTACTAAAAAAAAATCAAAGCTTTGAATATATAATTATTTATTTGTTCATTTAATTACAAAAAGGAAGTTTAAAAAATGCTATATTATTCCATAAACTAGCAAATTTTACTTTATCAGTTGTCCACACATCTTTCAAATAAACGTTCGGGCCCAGCGACGATCGACGTCAAGACGGTCAGGCCCTTTTTTGTAATAATGGACGATCGGGTCAACTGGGCCCGATCGTCTATATAAATTATAACCCGTATAGGCCGGGGTAACTTTAGTACTCAACTTACCAAGAATTTCGTCCATTTCTTCGTAAAATGGTGAGGTCGCTCGGCCCCGTCCGCTGGAATTATTTATTTTTTTCGCCGTCCTATATTTCTTCTTGAGATAGTCAATGCGCTCCTTCATGGCTTCCCATGTATTATACGGAGATTCTGGAAACCTCTCCAGAAACTTGGCGACGATGCTGGCCCATACACGAGAGTTGTACTTCATCCCCTCGAACCCTTGCTGGTGTTCTTTTTCTCCCCAAATCGCGATCAAACCGTGCGTTTCAGCATGCGTCCAATTTCGCTTCCTTTTTGCTGCATTGTTTTCTACTGTAGATTTTCTTTTTGTTCCTTTTGCTACCGCATCCATTGTTGATACCCAAAAGCGAGCCTAGCCTGTCGAAATGCCGCGCGCTTTCGTTAATTGTTTTGCTACACATACCGGAAGTGAACGTCACGATTTAGCGCCCCCAATAGATGAATCTGTACGAATGGTTAGTTTCACCATGGCCTGTGGTAAAACTAACCACGTCGATAAATCCCAGTGCGAACGACAGGAAGTTTACCCATTGGAATGTTACCCACAGTCTCGGTAAAAATTTCCCTATTTTAAATCCAGTGCGATTGCGGCTTTAGAGTTAGAGCTAGGGTTAGGGTTAGGGTTAGGGTTAGGCAAAGTGAGATAGGCTAAAACAAACACTATTCCATTGAAAGTTTGAAGTTTTTCGGAAAAGTTCTCGAAATATGGCGGAAAGTCAA